ATGGAAACTCAAAGACACTTGGCAAAGATGTTAGTTTAGACGTAAATGTAGAGGCAGTTTAATGTATGTTGATGCCTCATCACTAGAGTGCAGTACAGAATCATAAAGAAAAAAAGATAGCTAATAAATCCTTTGAATGTGTGGAAAAGTTCAAATATTTGGGAATGACAGTAACAAATCAATATTGCATTCACAAAGAGATTAAGAGCAGATTAAATTAGAAATGCTTCAGCCATTCAGTTTAGAACCTTTTATCTTCCCATCTGCTGTCTAAAATGTAAATATTGAAATATACAGAAGTGTAATTTTACATGGGTATAAAACCTGGTCTCGTGCTTTAAGGGACGGACATATATGGTGTTCAAAAGTAGGGTGCTGGGGAGACCTAAGGGAGGAAGTGAGGGGAAGCCGCATGGAATTATATAATGAGCTTAGTAATTTGCACCCATCACAAAATATTATTGGAATGATCATATTGAGCGAAATGATATGGGCAGGACATGTAGCATGCAGAGAGATGAAAAATATGTATAGAATTTTAGTTAGATAACTTGCATGTAAGAGGCAAACTTGAAGACCCAGGCATAGTTGGGTGGATATTATTGAAATTGTTCTTAAAGAAAATGGGCACAAGGGTGAGGATATGGACTGGGTTCTTCAGGCTTGGATAAGGACCAGTCATGGATTCTTCGGCCATGGTAATGAGCCTTTGGCTATCATGAGAGCTGGAGAATTCCTTGAGTACATGAGCTAACAGTAGCTTCTCAAAAATGGCTCTGCTCCATATAGTTTTTTTAGTTCATGAGAAGTCTAGTGGGACTGGTGAAGATTTTTCTTATTTCAGTTATTTATGCCTTTACATGTTTTGGTCTTCAGAGACCATCATCAGAGGGACACCTTTACATCAGTACAGCTGGAAGCCACTATTACAATACATGTTCTGAACGTTAAAATATGGGAACAGCTGCTGTAGTTGTAAAAATACCCAATTGTATATTATTAATATTATATGTATGTATATATATATTGTATGTATAATATTAATAATATACAATTGGGTATTTTTACAACTACAGCAGCTGTTCCCATACATTAAAATATTTGTAATTGGTTAAGATTTTATTGGAATTTATAAACCAAGTAGGTTCGTGTCATCTTTCTTATTATTTCTCTTGATGGGGGCCGAACGTGTGCTGCCTTGTCGTTCTCAAGAAGAGGGGTTTTTTATGTTGTCCTTTATGTGTTTATGGCATGCTTCACGAGTCACACTAGATGGAACTCTTTAACTTTTCATGATATTGTTAGTGTGACGGACCAGAATGAAACAAAATTTTTTTAGTTATTTGACATAAAAGTACAGGGTTTCCCCTCTGTTTAGTTTTGCTGAGTATAGCAATAAAAATGTTCAGAAAAAGGGATTAAAAAATTTTCAAAAGAAGTTGAGCTGCAGGAAAGTTTCACATTATTTTGAAAAATGTTGTAATCAGATTACTACAATTTAATCATAACATAGGCCATGCAGTAGTGTAGTTGGTTGAGGTACTGTGCTACAAGCCGGAGGGTCATGGGTTCAATTCCCGATGAGATCTTGAGCTAACTAACTCTTCTAGCCACACTATGGCCTGGGGTCAACTCAGCCTCTAACAGAAATGAGTACCAGGAATGTTCCTGAGGTTAAAGGTCAACCAGTACATAAGGCTGACAGCCTCACCACCATGTGTGAGCTGATCTAGAAAATGTGTTGGCCTTGATGTCTCAAACCTGTGGGACTCCATGACCTGTTGCAGGGATAGCTTTATCTTTTATAGGCACCGTATTTGTACACATTAACCTTCCACTTATGCTGTAACCATATCAGGATTCATGTTCATGTTTTAACTCAAGGTGGGCCAGTCATATTAAGGAACTAAAACTCTGTGTTTGTTGTACAGGGTCTGTTCAAAAAGTTCCAGAACTTTGAAATTGCGCACCAACTCGACATCTTAGTGATGTCGGGTAAGTTATGCTGCCTAGTGGCATACTTCCTAATTGTTATCCTTTTTTCCATGTCATCCTGCTGTAATAGTCATCCCCCTAGAGCTGTTTGTTCACATGCATGTAGAGTGTGTCTTGCGATATTTGAGACGGCTGATATTCATGAGCATGAAAATCTTGTTGAGGGTTTTTTTTTACATCAAAAGTGTTGTGCATTATGAAACCTTACATGGGGGGCAAGCAGTGAATCGCTGGTATTATCTTAAAATGCTGAAACGTCTCAGAGAGAATGTCTGGAGAAAAAGCCTCTGGTTCCTCCATTATGACAGTGTGCCAGCTCATGCATCACTACTGATTCATGATTTCAGTTTGAGAAATAAAAAGTCTGCTGGAGCCAGGTCAGGTGAGTAGGGTGGTTGAGGAAGCACAGTTGTGTTCACATTGACCAAAAAGTCACAAATCAGTAGTGATGCATGAGCTGACACATTGTCCTGATGGTGAAACTAGAGGCTTATTTCTCCACAACAGGTCTTTTTCTCCTGACATTTTCTCATAGACTTTTCAACACTTTAAGATAATACCAGCAATTCACTGTTTGCCCCTGATGTAAGAATTCATGATGCACAGCACACTCGATGTCAAAAAGAACCGTCAACATGACTTTCACGCTCATGAATATCAGCCATCTCGAATATCACAAGACACACTCTACATGCACGAGAACAAACAGCTCTAGGGTGATGACTAATCACAGCAGGATGACATGGCAAGAAGGATGATAATTAGGAAGCACGCCACTAGTAAAAGTAAAGCTATCCCTGTAACAGGCGGTGAAGGTCGATAGGGTTATGAGATGTTGAGGGTCCCACATTATGTATACGATAGGCTGAAAGATGGCCATAAGGTTGTTAGCCTTATGCACCAGCCGCTCTTTACTCCCCAGGAAAATTATTTAATTAATTCCTCTACTCATTTCTGTTAGAGGCTGAGTCAATCCCAGGGCCATAGTGCAGCTGGAAGGATTAGGTCAATTGAAAAGAATCCAATGACCTCATTGGGGCTTGAACTCTCGACATTCCGGCTTGTAGCATAGGCCCCAGCACGCCACTAGGCAGTACAACTTACCCAACATTGCTAACACTTCAAGTTGGTGCGCTATTTCAGAATTCTGGAACTTTTTGAACAGGCCATGTATATGCATTGTATGAATATTTTAACAAAGTAGCCATTTCTCAAAATTTGTATGCAGGCAACTCTGTCCTAAAAATTTCAAGCTCTTAGCATTGCATTCCAATCTGCTTATATTCCTTACTGCAGAAGCAGTTGTGTAGTTAATTATTTTTGTTTCATATTGTGTAGAGTGCAACAGGATGCTTAAATATAATATTGTAACATATGAATATTAAATTTTTAATTAGGTAATCACTGTTAAGTTGCATTAATGGGATCCACTAGTGGAATGTGAGATTTCTTTATTGGTATTCATCTGTAACCTGTCTGATAATAGGCTGTGTACCCAACAATATTGTTTCTAATCAAGGTTTGGTCGCCTGCATTCATGAATACTGAATCTGTGGATGTCTTCATGTAAAGGAAGTTGAACACTAACATTTACCTCACATTATTTTATCAAGGATTTACTCTCAGTAGATGTACATTTAAACATGTTTTGAATGAAGTGATTTCTTTGATGATGGCACCAGGGAAGGAGAATGAACGATGATGTTGCAAATTTCAGTACCAAAGAATGGATGTACTAGACCTTCAAATCATTGTTATGGGTATTTCTGAAAGTCAGTCATAAAATAATTTGGAAACTAAGATCCTTCTACAATAAATTTTAATGTAATGCAGAAAAGTATGTAATTGCATTTTAAGTTAGCCCTTTGAAGCACAGTTTTTACATTGTGTGCTAGAGAGTGCATTTTGTGTGTAATGTATTTTATAGGTTTTGGTATGATAATCAGAATAAACAGTTTTTGTTCCTAAACAGCCTTGATCTGTTGATGTCCGTAATGGAGGCACAATGTGTTTTCTTTTGCTAAAGTATAATTCAGGTAGGAACTGAATTTATGTATATTATTTACATGAATTTCATGCTTCGAAAGGCAAACGGTGCTGCCATTCATCAATGTGTGGTTTATGATTGCTTTTATGATTTTCTTTCTGTTGATTACAAGTAGAATAAAATAATTTTTTATGTTTCTTGCTAATCAGCATGGAGGAATAAGAACTGAATCTTGTTTTAAGTAACTCATTTGTACTACAGTACGGAGTTGTGGGTTGTAACGCAATATGGTCTGGTGGATAGGTACCCACTGCTTCAGGCTATGCTGCCTCCATCATCAGGGTTCCTTCTACCCAGACGATGGAAGGAGCAGGTTTATCTGAAACATTGGTACCGACCCTCATACCTAATCGCACCATATCCCAGAAAATTGTAATGTTAATATTTACCACCATGAAAACAAATCCCAGTCTGTTTGTGGAGTATAGTAGCAGCACCAATATTATAAACCAATACCTGAGGACAGGCATAGTCTAGTCTCCAACAGTAAAAATAGGACTCTGGATTATGTTCAGATAATTGACCATTTTATTATAAACATTTGTTTCTGAATACACCAGAGTTTATGTTATTTCATGAAGTTCTATATGAACTTAAATAATGATTCAGCAATTATAGTTTTATACTTGTATAACACCTAAAAAGTGGAACCAAATTGTACCAAAAGAGGTAACTGAAAATAGTCACCCAAGGAACCTTTCTTGCGATAACCATCTAATATGTTATATAAGAGCAATCATATATAATTTCTAGTGTCATATAAGTTTGGAGGTTTTCATGATGATAATTATTGTTAATTGTGGAGTGTTTGAGTTACAATTCTGCATCTACTGTTGTGCTAATAAGAAAGGAGTAATCATAATTTTTTGCAGAGTAAAGTGAGAAAATATCTTATACCTTTGTAGCTTTTGTTAGTGTTGGGTTTTTTAAGTGCTATATTGGTTCCATATCATTTCAGCTCGAGTTCCACCAGGCAAACCAGGGAAGCGGCTTCTCATGCGACAACACCGCATCAAGAAGGAGTGTGATCCTGCTCACACATCTCCAGACAGTGAGCCTGGATCACCTCACTTCACTTCTGGCAGTGGTCTGCTTAGCTTACCACCAGTTCGAATTGAGAGACAGTGCTCTGAGCCACCACCTTGCAGTTCTCCCTCTCTTCAGCTAAATCCTACCACTCCCAACCTTCTCACTGTGCCTCCACCAACCTTTCTTGTCAAACAGCATTCTCACCCGCTGCTTCCTAGCCAGCAGAGCCCCACACCACCTACTCCAACATCACTGTTAGTTCAGCGCCAGTTATCACAGCCTGCCCCTGGGCAGACTTGTCTTGTTCCATCCCCAGCACTTCATCATGTCCATCTGGTGGCTACCCCAATGCAGACACCGCCCAACCAGGAGCCAACAAGTCGTGCCGTTAGTCCTTCTGTGGTAATTGAACAATTACCAGTGCTGCGAGTTGTGACTGATCAAACAACGACAGATACAACAAAGAGTAGTAGTCATGGAGGACTTCGAGTTCGCACAGATGAACTCAGGCGAGCATCTTCCTCTCCACAGGTAAAATTGCAATACTTCATTTAGAGCAAATAATTTCAACATTGATCTTGATCTTGTAACTTTTTGCAAACACCAAACAAGAGACAGAAACTTTGATTCTTTTTTTGTGCTCACATTGCTGCAAGTCTGGCACCTGGCCAAATCTTCTGTCCTTGCTGCATTCATTTGGTTTTAATCGACCCACTGTATTCTTGTTCTTTCCACAGATCTCTTACCCTTTTGTCCCAATTTTGTTGCCATTTTTGATAATCCATCTTCCTTTATTTGCTTCACTTGGCTGAACCACAGATATGTTGATTTAAAATCTCCACATAAATAATCACATTCCATTCCTAACTTTGTTTCTAATGAAGGGGACCAGTAGTTTGAGATGTGTAATTTAAGTTTTGAGAATTTAATGGCAGTTATTGTTGAAATTGTGATCTGCAAGTCTATATGATGTCAGCTCAAAGGACCAAAACCTGAGAATATGTAATATAGTTTTCCAGAGTTTTTTATTTTCTTCTTTCTTTCTTTCTGACCTCTGAAAAGAAGTGAAAGGACAGAAGTTGTTCCTTGAATAGATAAAGTTGGGTGGCCACCCAGGACCTCTCACTTTTTGTGCTTGTTCGCTTTGTTGCACTCTCTTCAAAGTATTCATATTTCATCAGGTACATTCCCCCCCCCNTGTGTATAAGAATTTTTGTATTCATTCCCAGGCATCATCACCCAGAGAAGGGCTTGAATCACAGCGTTCTGGACATTGTCCTCTATTACGTCCTGGCCCAGCATTGGGCTGCAATTTCTGCTGGAACACAATTGATGGTCATGGCCGTATCTTGCGTCGTAAAACCAAGTACCACTGCCCTGAGTGCCAGACCAACCTCTGCATTGTGCCATGTTTTCAAGAGTACCATGAAAGGCAGCTTGCTGGGGGCAGCAGAGAGACTGCAGGAGCTGTCTCACCTACCATCATGAAGGTGCTTCCTAAAACCAGCTCTATATAATTAGAAGGTAGGGCCCTAAAGAAACCTATTATTCGGGTGTGTATGTATGAAGTGCATTCAATTCCAATATTTTCCGTTCACTTTTCTGTCCCTCCATACCCTTTAATCTCAAAGTGAGGTATTTAGATTAGTTTTACTCATGTTAAAGGACTATTTTTTTTAATAAAATGGTGAATCAGATAAGAAAAATGCAGTAGAGAGATATTGTGAATGGTGATCCATCCTAGGCCCCAGACTTTACTGCTACATACAAGGTTAATTGAAACTTTGGGGTCCCAACCTTTAATTTAATCTGATCTGTGATGAGACTGTACATGCTTTCATGTTGCTAGTTGTGATGATTTTGCTTCTCTTACTTTTTTCAATTTTAGTGATTGGTTGCCAAGAAAAGATTTGTGACCCAAATTCCAGGTGCTGTATAGAGATGCACAAGATATATCAATGTTCATTAGTCAATGTATCAGCTATATGATATTCTGGTACAGTATGGTCCATAAGTGATATTTTTAATTATAATATGATGTTGAAATTACTAATTATTAAAAATAATGTTACATACATTTTTAATGACTCATTAAACTGGAGCAGTTTCTATTGTGTAAGCATATTAATGAACATCATTAATTTTTCACTGAGGGAACATTTTTTTCCACTCACACTGAGCATTTTCTGTGAAAATTGTATGAAGATTTATTGTTATTTTTTAAATGATATTTATCAAATATTAACATTTTATTACTGAGACATTGATGGGCCAGTACTGTATATGACCATAATGCAATTTTATGCATCATTATGTGTGTGCTGTTAATGTGCTGAAACATGTGCTACTCAGTATGTCAAAGGCTCAGTCACAAGTCAATGCCAGTGTTACTGAAGTGGAATACATACTTAATTCCACTCTTAACATATATTTTATCATTAATGGGACTTTAAAGTTTTAGTAATTTTTTGAAGTGACATGACATATTTAGTTAACAGCTACTTACTAACATGAATATAGGTTACTTTATTTAATGTAAAGTACACACTTCATTGCATTAGGATTAAAGCACTGGAATTTTTATTTTTTGGAGTTTCTTTTAAAAAATTATACAATTTTGTAAGCATTAAAAGAATTTAATTTTTTTTTGTAGCTTTCATGTTTCTTTATGTATCTGAACATAGATCTGAAGACTTTCATTTGTGTTATCATTAGGAATGAGTCTTGACAGGTGATCTGTATATTTAGCATATATTCAAAATACTGTATATAGCCGTTGTCAGAAGGTGACATTAAGCTTCGGAACCAAGTTGAATACAACCAGTGAATAAAGTCATTTGCAGACAGTTTCTCTGTGGCTCTAGAACCACGTAAAATCTATAATCCATTAGACAGGTCAGTGCCACCAGTGCAGGCAGCAGGAGTAGACAGACCATAATGGAAGATATGCTGGCTTAGCAAGACCATCAGGCAGTTAGTTCAGCCTGTAAACTCTGCTGTCAACAAGACACTGGGGAAATCTAGCAACTGGTAATTGTCAAGAAAGATAATTGTTATTGTATTAACTCCCTTGTGAAATCTACCATTAGATCCTGCATTAGACCACTTCATTCAAGTTTGCATCTGTACAGTCTACTTTCCCTAGATATGTCTCACTCATGTTAAAAATAAATGTGTCACTCCATTGATGTCCAGACTTCTGAAGATCCAGTTCCCAAAATGTCAAACTGAGCAAATTGGCTTCTAACTTTTAGTAGAAAGGTGCCTAGTTGCAGTCTCAGCCAGGGCACTGATTATCCTACCAAAGGTTCTTTTTCTGGTTTTTCCTAGTCCTCCCAGTTAGATGTTAGGATAGTACCTCAAATTAGGTCATGACTCCTTCCATCTAATTCGTTATTCTCTAATCATCCTCTCGTTTTATACTGCTGATGGTGTTGTTAAATAAGCCCTTAATAAGTACATAAGTTAATTTTAATAATATTATCCTCATGCGTATATATGTCTTCACTTGACTTTTTGGACACACAGACTTGTGAGATGGGAACATCCCCAGCACAGTTAATTTATGGTCCTGGAGTAAAGTACAGTAATAGATGAAAGCAGTCTTCTGGGATGTGGCACCATGTAAATGTGATGTTAACCAACGTTTCGGAGGAACGTATCGCCTCCATCTTCAGGGTAGAAGAAAAAATAAGAAATCCGCAAGCAAAGAGGCCATGAGAACCGGTACAAGCAGACTGGTGTTGGAAATATACACAGCTATGTGAGAGCAGTGAAGGG